ACAAAAACAAAACCAGAAAAAGAAACCCATACCTTGTAAACAGTGAATTTATGTGAGGTGAAAGCAAACCTAATTCTGCCTCTTACGGAGAGATTGATAGAGGCTTCTCTAAGCAGCAAGCAACAGAAAAGGGAAGCAGGTTAAGTGCACAGAGCACAAGTTCACTGTATAAATGCACTCCTTCACATAGTGATTCAAAAGCCAGTTATATCAGGCTACTTAACTCTGTGGAACTGAACTCCCAGCTTCTTCACCAACTCTAGGCTGCATCAAAAGCATCACTAAGAAGAATCTCTGAGGTTATCATTTCAACATATTGCCAGCTGCAATGCACAAAAGGACAGGAATCAAATTCATTTTCTCGAATGAAAGTAATGGGTAAGGAATAAAAACCTAAGAATTTTCTGCCAACAGAAACTTTCCTCATCTGCTATTAATTGCAAAATTCTCATTCCCCTCTGCAACTTAGTAGTATTTGTTAGAACTGTTGCTTGATGCTCCAATAAAAAGCTTGCCCCCCAGCTAAGGTCGGTCAAATACTCCTCTCCAAAACCACAGAAACACCCCAGCATTAGATTATTAGCATGAGGACAAGAACATAATACATTAAACTTAGGGTAATTAAACTTTTTCACTCCTTTCTAGAGTAAAAAATCCCCCAGCTATATTTATTCTGGTCACTTATGAGATCACCAGGATAGGACAAATGAGGAGATAAGCTGTTAACAGCAAAAATTATCCAGCAAATTTCTTGCTCAGCTGTACGGTTTTTCTTCTCGTTCATCAAGACTGGGAAGTAGTCAGTGGTGAATCAGGGTGGCAGTGGGGAGACAGCCTTGATACTGTGCAAGCAGGGTTCAGCAACAGCCAAAACACTGGTGTGTTATCAACACTTCCAGCCACAAATGCAAAGCACAGCCCCATAGGGGCTGTTATGAAGAAAGTTGACTCCTTCCCTGCCAGGCCCAGTACAGACATAAACAAAAAATACATATAGCTTCTCCAAGGGCAATGAAGTCTCCTCACACCAATGCTTTCCACAGCCAGTCCATTTCTGGAAATTTTGTTCTCTTCTTCTGTCCGGCATTATTCTTACAGACCTTTATCTGTGGTTTTATTTGATTGTAGAGCTCCTTTAACGTCTTCCTCAGGATAAGAAACTAATATAGCTCAGATGCCCTAAACTATAACTATTACGTTTATATTATTATAACAACTAAAATCCAAATTGTCTTGGGTACAAAACTAAAGCAGTCCAAATCCCTTTGTTTCTCCTTAAAGCAAGGTAATAACTTCATCAGAAATAGAATTTATCATGCTGATTTCCTTTTGGACATCAACAGTACAAAAAAGTTAATGAGAATTTCTGGCAATTTCTGATTCTATTCTGATATGCAGGTATTAGCTGTCAGTATTTCACATCACAGTAAAAAAAAAAAAAAAAAATCAAGCCTTCATCCAACAGACCCAATCATTCCTTCAAAATGTCTGTCTTGACTAACTAGCAAGTCCTAAAAGTCTGTCTTAGTCAGTGAAAGAGGAACTCTCCCCCGCTACTCGTTTTCATTCCGAGAACATTTGTCCCATTATGCCAGAGGTACTCATGTACTGTTTTGAAAGATTTAGACAATGTTATTTTAAAGTAGACATAAGAAGTGTAGACTTCTCCATGCTTCTATATAGCTTCTCATAAATTCAGGTAGAATTTTCAGACAAGATACTTCATTCAATGGACTAGAGAAATCACACCTACTGTGACTCAGATACTGTTAAAGAGAAATATATGCTCTATGACCTTGAGGATCCACCTTCTAAGCATGTGGCTGAGTGTCAGATTTAGATCTTTACTGAATATGTAAAGGTTTAGAACAGGGGGGGGTAAAAGGACTGATTATACACCTTCACCCACAAAAACGCACTCAGTTATCTTCTAAGAACAATGCATAGCTTTGAATTATACAGTTAAAGGACCTAGAGACGCATTTCTGTTTTGAGAAACAGTCAGAAGATAAAGGTGATGCAAGACACCAGTGGCATGAACTGGAAGACAAACTACTACAGAATGACATTTACAACTGAGTTTATCATCTTCATAAAAGTTTGTACCATAAAAGTTTAAAATCAGTCCCCTCCCCTCCAGAGCTCTTAGGAAACACAAAAATAAATTCATGGCTAGATCTATTCCCATGGATAGCAACTGGTATGGCATTGAAGAAAGCAACTTGGAAGCAGAGCCGTTCTTTATTACCAGCATCTAAGATGTACATTTAAACAAATGGCTGTTTTGCAGTGGAAACTGAGCAGGGGGGCACGGAAAGAGTACTTATTTTGCTCAAAAGCATCTGCTTCTATTTCTCCTCTTCTACGTCAGTGACACTCCCTCACTGAATACCCTTGGAATTAGTAACAATGAATGTATTCTCCTGTGTTGTTTTCTTACTGGGCATTCAAGCCTCTTTTTTTTTTCCCTTGGTGTGCTGTTCACTCAGGATCTTCTCACACAGTTGTTTTCAAAAGCCACTGTTTAGGAGTAGTGCTTAAACATAGCAAATATTCTTATTAGCAAACAATTTCGAATCCACTGCTTATCACAGTCACATACAGTATTTTACCAAGATGGAACAAAAGATTTAGCCAAAGATCATATCAGTAAGAGATAAACTACATGGTGGTATTGATAAGACTTTGCTTATTAAATGGCAGTTAGAGTAGAAATAGTTCTATCTTTAACATCTCTGTCCTCATTTTTATGACTTACTCTTTCAAAAGGCTTCATAGCTCTTTCTATAAAATAAGGCTGTCTAAAAAAAGTTAAACTAAAAAAAATATAGCTTTTTTTCATCAGAGGTGTCTTGCAGCAGGTGGACCTAGGCTCAAAGAAAGCTATTTAACAAACATGAATGAATTCCTCACAACCAACGTATTCTGCAAGCCCCACAAATTTCAATTGTGGACTAAGTTTTCCTTTAGCTTCTAAACAGAAGATAGCAGAATGCAAATCTCAGCAGGAACATGAAAGGCTGCCTAACTGCAGGACTGGGCGCGTATTAAAACAGGCTTTCCTCTGTAAATCAGGAGTCATTCTGAACATGGAAAAAAATCTCCTCTCATGCCACGGTGGTGATTAGTGGTCTCTCTTTTCAGAAACCTTACAACCAGAAGTGTTCTTTTAGCTGTAATGCAGAGCTAGGCTGAAAACCAAGCAGTCCAGAGAGCTTCTGTACAGGAGGAAAGAACTGGTGTAAATTCAGAAAGGCTCTCTTGGAGTGGCAAAGAAGAGTTTTTACTCAGGTATCTTTGTAGTACGGCAGCAATTGCCATTCCTACTCTTTTGTATGTCACCTCTTTGATTTAGTTCGGAGTTCACCACGTAACTGCTTTAATCACAGGTGATGACTAAGAAGCACAGCTGGGCCATTTCAAAAAGAGACACTTGTCAAAGGAAATAAAAAAAATTATCAATGAATGAGGATGAACTTTCAAAAAACACCATATGTAAACTAAAATACAAAACAACACACCTCAAGGAAGGCTATGGAAACTTTCTGAATAGCACTGTTCTTGTTTAAATGGACACTTCACTCTTCCCAGGAAGTACTATATTGTATCAGTATTGCAAGATGACAGCATAGGCTATACTCATTATTGCTCAGTGTTTATAAGCTACTTTGAAAACTAATAGTGCCATTACCTATAAACTACATTTGATATTGTGCTTCAAAAACTCTTCCACAAATTGTGCAGTATTTGGCTGTTTATAACACTGTAGAAGAATAATTATGCGTAACTTAACAGGCTGCCCACAGCGTAAGTAAGATCAGCTCCTTAACAGGCTTAACTCATGTACTGGCTTCTTCATAGAATCATAGAATCAATGAGGGTGGAAAAAGACCTCTAAGATCATCGAGTCCAACCGTCAACCCAACACCACCATGTCCATTAAACCATGTCCCTAAGTGCCTCATCTACTCGTCTTTTAAATACCTCCAGGGATGGGGACTCAACCACTTCCCTGGGCAGCCTGGTCCAGTGTTTCACCACTCTTTCAGTAAAGACATTTTTCCTCATGTCCAATCTAAACCTCCCCTGGCGCAACT